CGGCTGGAGGTTCTGGTGAAATACCATCCCCTGAAGGCAACGTTGAGAGAAACGCAGAGTCGAAGGCCGTGGGAGGCTCACCGGCGATTCCTCAGTCCAAGCAGGCGATGTACGAATCGACCAAAGCATGGCGGGACATGGAAGCCTCCGTGTGCCCGACCAACACCCCAGGAAGGTCAGGGCTCCACTGGAACGTCCGCGACTTCTGCACCTCGTGCGTAAAGTGGCACGAAGACGAGCAGTTCATGTGGAATTATCCACAGTCCAAGAGTCTCTGCGACCAGCAAGACCTGACCCGTCTCCACAGCTTCCACACGTCGGCGCCCCCTATCAAGCCGGCGCAGGAGCTGCTGCCCATCTTTGGCCGATTCAAAGCCGACGGCTTCAACGACATCCTCTTACCGCTGATGCCCCTGACGGAAGACGAGCCGGAGCACAAAAAGGACTTTCGGCAGCGCAAGGACAGCGTGTACTGGCGGGGCAAGATTGGCGAGAAGCCAATCAGCGACGAGGCGCTGCGCGGGAACCACAAGCACCGGCTGGTCCACCTCGTCAACAACGCGACGGCTGCGGAAGACGTCACGATGATGCTCGGCGCGCCGTCAAAGGGCAGCTGGTACGCGTACGAGGTTGTCCGCGCGCGGGAGGCCAACGCCATCCTCCCGTTCGATATAGGCATAGCAGAGTACGCGTGCGACGTCAAGACACCGGGCTGCGGGGCGGCCAGGGCGGAGCTGGGACAGAAGCCCGTCGCCGCCTCCGGGGAAGATCCCCTGGACCACCGCTACGTCATGCTACTGGACGAGGACACGGCGCCGCCGCTGCAGATGCTCCGGACGCTTCGGTCGCCGGGCAGCGTGCCGCTCATGTCTTCGGTATTTGGGGAGTGGTACTCGGAGCGGCTGATCCCGTGGCTGCACTTTGTGCCCGTGGACACGCGGTTCCACGCCCTCCACAGCACGGTGGCGTACTTTGTCGGGCTCAAGGGCCGCGGCAAGCTCAACGGGCGGGAGGTGGACTTTGAGGCGCGGTGGGAGGACGCCGAGTGGATCGCGACGCAGGGGGCGCGGTGGGTGGACAAGGCTCTGCGAAGGGAGGACATGGAGATTTACCTGTTTCGGTTGCTCCTGGAATGGGGACGGGTGGTGAGGGACGATCGGGATAGTATCGGGTTCAAGGTGCAAAAGTCATGATTTGTTTTTTTTTCTATGTATTATTCATGTACGCTGGTGGAGGTTATTTCGTTGATAGATATGGGAAAGGGGTTATTCACACGACTATTGCCGCTCGCTCGCTCACTGTTCATGTGTTCATCCGTTCGATGTGCCGGCCTTGAATCGTGTTTATCCTTTGGTGGCCTGAACCGGGAGCGAGATAACCTAGCATTCTCGGCTGGTCGGTCAGCAAGGCAATATGCAGCCGAAGCTTAGAAACCCAATTCATCGGGGCCCCTTTCGGTCGGGAATCCTTGATACGGTGATACCCTTACCTCCTTCTTCATCTCCACAGAAACCAAACGGGAGCTTCGATCATCCACTTTTTGCTTCGTGCAAGTTTCTCTGGGGCCCCTGACGCGTTTCGGCCGAGAAGAACCTTTTGTCTCCAATTATCTTGTTATCGAGGGCATACAGGATTGCATCTTGTGTTATTCTCTCAAAAGTAGGTCTTTTCTGTTGAGGCGAGGTGCCCGATAGTCAATATGGGTTGGCCTAGAAGAGGTAGATCGTAAGCAGCGGGCTGGGCTGAACATGATTGAAATTCACGCTTCTCGGATCATTGCGAGGGACAGATTCCGCTACAACCCGAGTGGGCTGCCTATTTCACGACCTCTATAACTCATACAGAAAGTGCGCAAATATTCGTTTTGTCGTTGTTTGCCGAGGCTTTGACAAAACAGGGGGGCGGTCGAGGGGAGCTTGGTTGAGGATGAAGCTCGTTTCAGAATGACAGGCGGGACAAAATGGGGGTGTGGTGGCCTCGCGACTATGAGCTCAAGAGTGAAGAATGAGTGAAAAAAAGAGTAGAAAGGGGGCAAATTTGACCCCTTGCTCGGATTCACAAACAAAAGGGAGCTCCAGAGATGCCGCAGCTTGGGGAGATCCGTCGTTTGTGACTGGTTGCAGCTTTTTCCTTCGCAAGAACACCTTCATCCTTCATGCCAGCAGAAGCAGTGAAGTAGTACGGAGTACCTTACCTAAGGTAAAAGAGAGGGAAGAGCTCCTCTGAGGGGGAGGGGGGGGGGCTGACGATGACAAGTGGGGAAGACATGACGGAATGGGCAACAATTGCCTTACTCCCAGGTCCCCTCCAGCACAGGGCACCCTTTCACGCCTTACAACACGCTAGACAGGGCTGCCCCTCCCCCTCCCCCTCACCCAGCTCCGGGTTGCCCCCCCTCCCCTCCTCCCTCTCTCACAAGTTCCCCCCTCAGACCTAAGGTAGACGACGCAGACATCCAACGCAGCAAGCTGACCGACCTTCCCCCTCCCCCTCCTCTTCCGCTACCTAAGACTGCTAGCTAAGGTATGTTACTGACCTACCTATGTAAGCATCGTAAGGTACTTTTCCGTGCCTGACTAACATTACCTAGAGACACAGACCCCCCGTTGACATCTGCTTACACACGACTTTTTCTGAATCTGCTGGGACCTTGTCACTGGCAGCCGGCATCCACCCGTTGCCATTGTATCCGATTGTTGCTTGTTGCATTGTACCCAACTTTCCACCAACGCCCAAACTGTTCCTCCCGATCACAACCTCTTCTCCTCCCATCTCGGATAGAACCTCTTGCATATCTACAACTCTCACACCAACCCCGTTGCTCAAGAGTAGCCGCCCCCCGCATCTCCCATAATCTTCATTCCAACAAACGCCTCGAAATCCTACCCCGCGCGAACGTATCTCAGAAGAAGAAGCATCGTCCCATACACACAGCAACGACTCTCCTGCCCCTCTACATCTTCCCAATCACCCAGCCCACCTTCAACCTCCATACCTTCCGCGACACAGCAGCAAACATGGTCGACCGGCCCAACAAGCCCACCGCCCTGGCCACCACGCCCGGCCTCCCGCCCCAGGCCACCGTCGACATCACCCACAACAACACCCGCGTCTCCGCCACCCTCCCCACCGGCGAGTCCGTCGAGGTCCTCCTCCACGGCGCCACCGTCCTCTCGTGGAGATCCGCCGCCGGCGCAGACCGCCTCTGGCTCTCCGAGTCCACCGTCCTCGACGGCTCCAAGCCCGTCCGCGGCGGCATCCCCCTCGTCTTCCCCGTCTTCGGCCCCCCCTCCGACGCCCACCCGCCCACCGCCAAGCTGAGCCAGCACGGCTTCGCGCGCAGCTCGCGCTGGGAGTTCCTCGGGAAATCCACCAGCGAGGGGTCCGCCGGCTCAGAGTCCTCCGTCAAGCTCGACTTTGGCCTGTCCTCGGCCAACCTCGACGCCGAGACCCAGGCCAAGTGGGGGTACAAGTTCGGCGCCATCTACAGCGTGTCGCTCGACCGCGAGACGCTGTCGACGTCGTTGGTCATCACGAATGAGGGCGAGGAGGCCTTTGATTGCCAGGTCCTGATGCACACCTACCTGCGCGTCAGCGTACGTCCCACCCCTCCCTTCCTCTATACCAAGCTCCTATCCCCCCCAAGTCCATAAACTAACAGCAACGGGCCCAAAACAAACAGGACATCACAAAGATCTCAGTGCAAGGCCTCGACGGCGCCGCCTACACCGACAAAGTCGACAACGGCGCCTCAAAGTCCCAATCCGGCGACGTCACCATCACCCAAGAGACGGACCGCATCTACACCCCCACCGGCGGCCCCCGGGCCCCTGTCGCCGTCCTCGAGAGCGGCAAGCCCGTATTCTCCGTCGTCCGCGACAACCTCGACAACGTCGTCGTCTGGAACCCCTGGGTCGACAAGGCGCAAGGCATCGCCGACTTCGCCCCCAAGGACGGCTACAAGAACATGCTGTGCGTGGAGCCCGGCGCCGTCAAGGAGTGGCAGAAGCTCGAGCCCGGCGACGCGTTCGAGGGCGCCCAGGTCATCACGGCGAGCTCGAACTGATGCCAGGGGATGAAGGGGCGGGACGGGGTGATGGAGAGGGGAATGCTGTGAGAAAGAGAGAGAGAGGGAGAGAGGGTCCAAGTCACGTCGACTAGGTGGGGTGCCAAAGGGAACGAGAAAGAGAGGCGGCGGGGAGGGGTCAAAGCAATAACTGGAAAAAAGAATCTCGGGACAAGCCTAACCAAAGAAGAATTCTGAGCTTAGAAGGGATATTTAGACGGCCAGACGTGGAAGCAGTGAAGGCCGAAAGTTATCATGAACCAGCAGGCGCGCGCGTTAAGGGAAAGCAGGCCCGGAAACTACCCCTTTTGAATACATCACGCTTGATGCGCTTGATGCGGCAAAAAAACCACACACGCTCTTACACATACAACCCTTGATCACACGTGCAAAGGATACCCAGTATGCTATGACAGCTCATCATTATCTCTTTTTGCTCTCCTTTTCGTCTCTTTTCATTATCCTGGGCGGCGGTGAACCTCCAGATGCGTTTGCAACAATCTAATACGTGATAAAGTCGAGGATGGTGTGTCCCCCCCTTCCCTCCCCTCCTCGTTCCCTTGCCCCTCCTCCCCAACTTCAATCCAGTTTCATGCCATGAATTTTCCCTTATACCCAGTTTCCATACAAGAACAAGCTAACGAGGAAAAAAAAAGCCAAAACCAAGTAATGTTTTTTTTCCTTTCCTTCTTCCGCTTTCTTCGTCTTCAACTCATAAAACCAAAGATCTACGCCAACAATGCATGGCGGTGTTGCTGACACACCCATCGTCGTCGTGAATGTACATGTATATATGGCGTGGCGGAGGCGTATTGACAGTGTCCTCGCGAGGCCAGTAAGCAAGAAACAAAAGGGAAATGATGTCAAGCGGTAGCGGGTCGTTGTCGGATTTTTGCATTCCGCGTCAGTGCCGGTAGTGGTAGTAGAACTCTGGTTAAGCTCGCCCACGAGCCTCGGCGGCGTAGAGCTCTCTCTTGATATCCATGAGCATGTCCTCCATCTTGTACACCTCCTCCCGTGATAGTGCTGCTGAGCGAAGACTGGCGAGAACGCCGCTCAGATTATTAATCATGTTGACATCCTTGGCGGCTTCTTCGACAGGAGCTTCGGGGACTGGGTTTACTTCAGCGACAGTGGTGGCATCGGCGACATCAATATCCATGGAGTCTTCTGCCGTCTCGTGTGCCATGGTTGTTGTCTGCTCCAGCTCCGGCTCCTCGAATGATTGACTCGCCCGGAAGTCCGCCTCCTCTTGCTCATTAACCAGTTGAGAGTTGACTTCGGCATCCAGATCCACGGAGCGTTTCGAAGGGCTGTCGTTAGCATTGATGCGTTGGCTGCGACGACGGCGGGGGGTTTCTTCCCCGAGCACCGGAGACATGGTGATCTGGGACGACTCGACAATTTCTGAGGGACCAGTAGATTTCCTCTTCTTGTGGCGGGTATCGACGTTGGAAGCACCGCCCCTCTTCCGCTTCCTAGCTGACTTGTCCGGGGATGAAGCAGCTGAACGAGTTACAGGAGTTGAGGGTCGTGCGGGCGAATGGGACTTGCTCTTACGGGCTCTTGTCTGGACCTGTGAAAGAGCAAGCTCCGCTGGCTCGTCTTCCTCCTCTTCTTCGTCGTCCTCCTCTTCGTCATCTTCACCTCGGACTGTGATGCAGTCAAGCACAGGAACCTTTTCTTTCTTAGCGCTGCTGGGACCCTTATTAGATTTTGGAGGAGAAATGGCAGGGTAATCGTTGATCGGGAGTTCGCACCGCCTACGGTCGAGCTCGACGACAAGCCTCAACATGCTGTTTTCGTCTCCGTCACTCATCTCAAAGGAGCGGTCCTTGATGGCAGCTGCGCGCGAGGCAGACCTGGTAAGTACTGTGGGTTGTGGGCTTGAGGGCGCGTCGACAAAGACTTCCTGGCCAGATCTGGGCTCCTCTACGCCAGTCACTCGGTTGTTCTTGGGGGTTGATGGCGCAGGGTCAGGAAGAGTTTCTGCGGACGATTCCGCAATATCATGCTGAGATTGATCGGGCTGCAGCGTCTCTTTTGCGGTCTCGAAGGCAGGCGGTGGGAGCTCCGGCTCCTCCACGGCACTTGAGGGGACCATCTGAAACGAGTCATCTACTGCTGATAGATCCGGGCTACCTGCTCGGGGGACACGTTGGGAGGTTGCGCTGTCGGCCAAGTTGAGATCTGTAGGCTCATCGGTCATGACGGCGGCATCGGGAGATGGAGAGCCAGACACAGGAGAGGAACTAAACTGCCAGTTCTCTAGCTCGCTGCGACTGCTAGAGCGTGACTTGATCTGAGGCAGCAGAGGGAAAGGTCGGGGCTCCAGAGGTGAAGAAGGAGGATCCGTCATCTCCTGATCATTGTCTGCCATGGCCATCGTCTGACCTCGGCGAGGTGTCGGGGTCGAGCTGACAAACTCCTCGTACCTAGCGTTGCGCTTAGGTGTCACATCCTTAGGGGTCTCGACAACCATCTTAGGGGCGGTCGACTTCTCAATGACCTGTGGTTGTTGCTGTTGAGGGCTTGACCGCATTTCTGGGTAAAGGGCCGCGGCATCCTTCTGCCTCTCCCTGATTTCTTTCTGGCGTTCGGTGAGAACTTGAGACTCGGCGTTGACTGCGGGGTTCAAAGGAGACTTCTCAATGGGCGCGAACTGAATCTGAGAGTCGTCATGTCTCAACCGCGCCTTGGCTGCAGCGCTACGCCGGGACCTTTCACGACCCTTCATAGGTGTAGTGTTGTCCAGCTGCTTCTTCGCAGAGAGCGACAGCTTGACAGAGCTGAGAGGCGATGATCGGTTGGACGTGGCCGACTTCTGAGCTCTCTTTCGAGATGAGCGTGTGGAGGATACGGTGAGCATCTCAATGTCGTCCTGCGATTCGACGAACGAGCGATTTTCGTCCGTAGACGCCACACTGGCGATCTCCAAGCCTGGAAGAACGAGGGTCACAACCGGTTGAATGCCCAGTAAGACGGCCTTGAGATGTTCAGGGTACTGGATTTGTTCCGCATTCTCGTAAATCCGATTCCACGCCTCTGCGACAGAGTTAAGAATATGGCGGTGTTTGCTTTCAAAGGCAGCGCAGATGAGTTCCTCGAATGTTTCGAGCTGCACTTCTTCTGGCTTGCCGCTAGGCAAAATGATCTTGGAAACGGTCTCCCAGAGAAGCTTGACCTGCTGTTGGTCAGTAAAGTAGATTTCCCTGTTAGTAGTAAGACTCACAGCTTCAGATGCAGCAGGGCTCTGTCGGGCATTCAAAATGCCCTGCGAGTCCCGGATCCACACGGCAAGCCCACTCTCCAAGTTCGATACAGTTCTGCAAACAAGCTCCGGGTTGCAGCGAGAAAGGAATGAACCGCTCGCCCTGAGAAGCTGAGTGGCAAGTTCGTCCAGATCTCCACGCTCGCCGGCCTCGTAGAGTCGTTCCATCACCTCGTTGACCAGTTTGTAAAAGTTATCAAACGGATCGAAAGAGGATGACCTAGGTCCCGCAACTGCTGTACCCCATAACCTGCGTCGAGCAGCTTCCAATGCCTGTCTGTCCAATGGGTGGCTAGCAACGGAGAGAAGCTCAGTTGTTGCAAGAAGCGTCTTTGTCGACAGCGGCAAGGCATGGTCGGCAGGGATAGACTCCCGGACGACTTTGGCAAGCGGCTCGATAGTGCCTAAAGCGCGGCCAGCTTCGCCAGTCTCCTGGTAAGACCGGGCCGACAACTTCGCGAAGAGCGAACACCAGGGTTCCCAGGGTAGATTGGAAGTCTCTTTCCATCCTCGTTCCAGGAAACGCACCACGGTGCGGTATTCGTGACCGAGTGACGGCTCAACTATTGAGCTAGTTGTTGGAGTGCTGTTTTGGGGTGAGCTGAAGGTCGCCGATAGGCACTCCGCGGCGAAGACCCATGGTGCATAGGGAAGTTGATTGACCGGCGGTGACCAGATTGGAGTGGCCGACAGCATCTCTTGTGCCAGCTCCAAGCGAGAGTTTGCTGACTTCTGGACTAAGAAAGGTGCAAAGAACGTCTTGAAGAACTCGACGTACTCCTCCCCATCGGGGACACCCGGGGGAAGCCGAGAGACCAAGCCGATCAAATGCTGTAGCGGAGTCCGGGCATCACCAGCGTTCTTCGCCGGCTTATGGGACGGCGTTGACACAGGTGTGAAGGTATGAAGACGACTAAGAGAGATCATCTTCTCGGTGAAAGGCCGAAGACCCAGGGCCTCTACAGCGACTATGATGAGCTCACGAGCGCTGTCCAGGAACTTGGTCGCCATCTCAGGAGTAGGATCTTCAATCTCCGTCAAGCCAGTCTCCCAATGCTTGAGCAAAAGACCGCACACTTGGGAAATGAACGCCGCGGTGTCGACAGAAACTTTGATCTCTTTGGAGGCGGCAGAGACAATGGCTCCCACCAAAGTGCGCCACAAGCGATGGATTTGACTGTTCTTGTCCGAGAGCTCGAGAAAGTGTCTATCCATGATAGGTTCCATAGTCTGGAAAACACGAGCAGCGTTGCGTCGGAGCCACTTGGGATCGATAGCTGGCAGCTCGTTCGGCCGGGCAAGAGCTGTCTCTCTAATACGCTCCTCCCTCCAAATCCGAGGTGTTGTCGAGTCAAAAAGACCGGTGAGAATTAGTGTTATCTGCCGCATATGCTCATCAACAGCGTCGGGGTTCCTTGCTTGCGCTTTGGGTGGCTCTATCAAGGGCTTGACGCAAATGTCCCAGTAGGTGTCGAGAAGAGCACTGTTCGTTCCCGGCTTGAAGGCGTAGTAAAGGAGGTTGCACACACTGCCAAAAACGACCTCTCGTGTGTGTTTGTTTGTGTACTTTGACTTCAACTGGCTGCCTAGTGGCTGGTAAAGTATGGGGAGAAGCTTGACGAAAGACTGGCCTTCGGTATGCATAGACCAGACGAAACGGTTCCATGCAAAATTCGCCTCCTGCTTAGTTTGGGGGTGATCGCTATTGTTGAAGCCCATCTGAATGAGCTGCAGCCATTGGTTGAAGAATTGCCATTTGTCAAGAGGACAGCGCAGTAAACCAATGATGACGCTCCAGATCTTGGGGACTGAAGCCGTCAGTTGCCTGTCGTCCTTGTCCTTTGCCATGGTTTTTAGTTGCTGGTGGTAATACTCTGCGAACTTCATCTCTTCAATGGATGTATCAAAGAGCTCCATCACCTTCCGAGACAGTGACTTTTCTTTCCCGAATATGTAGACCGCTTCCAGACCAAGAGATATCGCAGCAGATCGCAGCTCTTTGACCCTGCTCAGCATGTCCGTGAAAAGGTCGTTCAGCCAATCGGAGTGAAGGACCATCAACTGGCGTGACTGTTGAACCAAGCGTTTATAGATGAGAATTCGAGACATCACAATGCTCTTTCCCTTTAGGTTGTCTTCGATGTTGCGGAGGGCATTCATGAGGCGGCGGACGCGATCCGAGGTCAAGACCTTTGCGGAGAAGTCTTGCGTAGCGACAGCTTGCATTAGATGCCGAGCCACATCTTTCGGTGTTGCAGGATCCTCAAAGGATCGAATGCAGTGATCTATAAAGAAAATGCCGAAATCGCTGGGTATCGTCGAGGCAATGGCGGGGAAATGCAAAAAAGTAGCGAGAAGAGAAATAGCGTTGTTGACAAGAGGCGCATCTGGTCCTCCGTTGGTGGCATTCTTGGAGGTGATGTCTCGTTGGATGAACTGCACGAAGAGGCTCATCTTAGACTGAAGGGCGATTCGGTCCGGGAGGTTGTTGGACGTCTTCAGCGTCATGACCAGTGTTGTGTAGGCATCCCGCTTCGAGTCCCTGTCTGCTCCGGCGAGCTGCTTCACCGTTGACTCCAACATGTCTGATATGTTTGCTGATGTCGTCAAGCTGTCTGGCTTGAGACTTGAACTCAGGGGACTCGGCGAAGAGGTTTGTTTGAGGATGCCCTTGACAGGTTTGGGCTGAGTCGAGGACGACGCCGATAGGGGCGATGATCGGGATTTGGCAATAGATAGACCTGGGTAGTTTGGTGCTTCGTTGTATTGCGCCTGGGCAGAAAAGCCCACACGTTTCCTTGCTCTTCGTCCGCTCGGGTTTGTGGAGTCAGCTCCGGAAAGTGGTGAGTATACGCTCGGTGGAGTCTGGAGACTTGATCGAGGGTCTGAGGAAGGAGGGAGGACGAGGAGATGCTTCGAAGTGGTGGCATCGGCAGCCAGGCTGGTCTCGCGAGGTGGTGTCGGTGGGCGAGGGGGTAACGACTCTAGTCGGCTCGAGACAACCTCAACAGATCCCATGGTTGCGAAGAGGTTCCCGTCGAGTGGGAAGGGATTACCAGACCTGGGCAAGCTCTGCTCTATGTCGACTGGCGCATAAGTGCGTCGGACTCCAGGCAGGGAAAACGAAGGAAATGACGATGCGTATGCGTAAAACCAAAGGCAATATACAAATCTCGCTCACTATGCAAATGGAAGAGAGTGACGGGAGGAGGTGGGCTTTCCGGCGGAAACGAGAGTGAGGTATGGAGACGGTCGAAGGAGCGAAGCCGTGTACGGACGACTACGGAGTGTGACTTGGGACACGGGGCCGGGGTTGTCTGGTCAGGTATCCGTAGCCAGTTCGCGCAAGTACACGACTTTTTGCACCTCAGCACAACCTTCTCTTCTCGATATAAGGGTGGAGCGGGTTGGTTAATTGGCTAGCGCTTGAGGATGCTTAAACACGTCCACGACTTCACGTAAAAACGCGAGCTGAGCGCGAAAACCACTTAAACAAGTGGCCCGTGCATGTCGTGTACCCCCGTCGTTGGCGCTGCCTGGTTGCCCGGGGGTTGGGCCGTCGACCGTCGAAGAGTGGGGCAGTGGAATGAATGGCATCCACCGCAGTCTCCAAATTCGCATCCATCGTAGTTTCCCCCGTGCCCTCCAAATGGAAGCGTTCCGCACCATAGCAACATGGAAAGTGCCCCACAGCTTCGAGCATGATGCTTACTAACGTAAGGTCAGACAGGCACTCCTGCCACAGGTGTGGCTTGCGCACCCCGTACTGCGTAAGTGCACGGTCTGTTCGCTCGCGTCAACTGCCAACTGCCTGGCGGGCCACCGAGTGCCCCTCTTCTTGTGTAACGACGGTGGAGGAACGGAAGGAAGGATTGCTGGTGTCTCACGGTCAGTCTTCCATCTGGCTCATTCCCCTTTCTCAGCCAGATACCTCGACATTCCACTACAGCCACATCTTCACTTTAACAAACGACAACACCAACAAATCAACAATATCTTCTACTTTGCACATTGAACAAGGTCGATTGGGTGTTGGCAAACTTACATCACCTACACGAATCGCAGCTGGACAGATTCAGCTATTTTTGGTGGATGCACTGCCGAACCTAAGGTAGGCCGAAATCGTCGAGGTCGGTCAGACATCAAGCCACTTGAATTCGAGATCGAGTGCCACAATCACATCCGTTGAACCGCATATCCTTTTCTCGCCACTGCAGGAAGCGGACATCTTCCATCTTGTGATCCCCAAAAGGTAATCCAATCTTGTCTTTGCATCTCACATTCCTTTCTGAAGTGTGCTGCCCATCATGGCATCCAAGTTGAAGAGAATGCTGAGCGTCAAGGAACGTAGGGTCTGCCGCAAATCAAGTGCCCCTAGCTTTGCTCGGCCGGGCTCGCCCAAGCTCCGCTCCGTTGCCGATCCCGACTACAAGCACAGCTCCGCCCGCCGTACCATGTCACAGCCCCTCGCCATGCAGGCCAACCTGGCCGGCCCTGGTAGGTTGCCCGACCAGACCAGGCCCATGAAGTTGTCTCGCTGACAATTCTTCAGCAAAACTTGAGGCTGTCACTGCTCTTATGAAGAAGTTGGAAGACGACCTGAAAAAACCCACTCTGCTCCCTCATCGTAAGTTTGATCTACGATGCAATACTTCTCTCAGTCATCCAGCTAAAATTACATCTTAGAGCGTGATGCTGCTCTTGAAGAGCTAAAGATCTATGGGCGGGACCCTACCAACGCTGATCCTATCTTTACACCAGAGGTCATCCCATCTGCCTCCTACGAGTGCTGTTGATACTAATAGACTACAGGGTATCGAGATGCTCACAAGACATGCCTTCGTAAGCCCGTCAAACTCTACGGCAAGGGCAGCTTTGAGAGTTTTGGCCAACACGATGCTATTGAATCCTCAGGCTCGCCAAACATTTGTTGACCTTGGCTACGAGGACCAAGCTTGCAGGAGATTGAAGAATGACAGCTTCGACGATGAATTCCTTGTCTCCAGGGTCTTGTTCCTCACCACCTACGGAACCAAAATCGATCTTCTTGCTCTGATTCAGAAACATAGGTTGGCCGATATCGTGATTGAGAACCTTTCCAAGCACCAAAAGCGCCTGGGAAGTTCTCAGACCCATGTATCAGCCGATCCCATGGAAGACATGGCGCTCAACGAGACTTTGAAGCTGCTTTTCAACGTCTCGCATTTTTGCCCCTCCGAAGTGGCGGCATTTACAGGCGCCATTCCACACATCGTTGCACTACTTTGGAAGCATGATATTCCCTCCAACAAACCGCTCGACCCGCCATTCAATACCCTTGTCAACGCTTTGCTGGATCTCAAGTTAGAGGACAAAGATGTCCAGGGGGCTCTTTATCCCAAGAGTGAACCTGCAAAGGTAGCGGATCGCTTTATTGAGATACTGGACGCGGCTCTGAAGGCATATCCCGATAATGAACTGGAGCAGCTGGTAACGCCGCTGATAGGTGTCTTGCGGCGTGTGCACGATGGCGCTCCTGACGCTGCCAAGACATCTATTAGGAAGAAGCTTCTTCCTACTGAGCAGGATAGAAAGGAGGTTCTTGGCCGCGGTACTTCATTGACATCACGCTTATTGCGCAACTCTACCAACCCCCTGACCCCCCACCTTCGGGAGGCCATCTCCTATCTTCTCTTCGACATGTCAGACCAGGATGCTTCAAAGTTTGTTGAGAACGTTGGTTACGGCTTTGCATCAGGCTTCCTGTTCCAGAAAAACATTCCCATTCCTGCCAGTGCTGCTGAAGCGTTCAGCACGGGCGAGGAGCAGCGGCCTGTCAATCCCATTACGGGACAATTCATTGACAAGGAAAAACACGTTGAACTTCCGGAGATGACAGAAGAAGAAAAAGAGAGAGAGGCAGAGAGACTATACGTCCTGTTTGAAAGGCAAGATGGCACTTGCCCCACGACTCGGACACATGCTAACAGATCATTAGGCTCAAGAAGACAGGCGTCGTTGATATTCAGAACCCCGTGGAGCAGGCGGCGAGGTCAGGACAACTTCATGATTTTGGAGATAAGCGAGTGGAGGAGCTCGACGATTAAGATGAAGCATAGCATAGGGACAGGCTTAACTTGTCAAAGAATAGCATACGTGCATCAGGCATTGGCGTAGTCATTCAAGGTACCTTAGCTTGAAACAACTTTTGGTGGTCTTGATTCCGCGATGGATTGATATGAGCAAAGGTCCGGCTGGCTTTATTTCTACCATCTGGTGTGACTCCCATCCAACCCTACCTGAGGCTTTCCCAGACCGTTTTCCGCCCCAGCAGGCCTGGCCATGTCAAGTTAAGGTCGCCCCTACTAGAATTAAAGTTCAGAAGCAAAGGCGCGAGCTGTACTTGATCCCGATTTTCCAGACCTGCGTTGAGAGAGAGGTGAGTGCATCTCAGCTGCTTTCGCCCGTTAGTCAGACGACAGTGAGTAGCGAACAGTTGCTCGTGCTCAGTATATTTTCACAAAGATCCCTCAAGATGGTTTCTTTGTTCCCATCCCAGACTTCTTGTTCGCCCTTGCATCTCGCTCCCGCAGGCAAGGTACCTTCTAGTAATAAACACCTGACCAAAACTGGACGGTTCCGGTGCATTGTTGGCATCCTGGTCCTTTGAAGCACGGTATTGAGGTAATAATCAATTGTAGGTACGAGTGGAATTGTCTCGAGGCTGGTGTACTACCGATATGCCCGTTCGTCGTGGCTAGTTAGCTTTTGGCTTGAATTTTCCAATTTCCTGATTTAAATTCCAACTCGAGCACTTGCCAGATGGCTCAACTGGTCAGTTCACCGGACGGACTTACTTTCCATTAACTTAGAACCCCAGGCCTGGTGTGAGGGAAAGAAAGAGATGTAGGTATACGTCCACCTTCCATCAAACTCGCCCGAGAGGATCTTTTTCCCAAGCAACTGCCTTCCTTTTCTGGATTGCCCCCCCCCCCCCTCGGACCTTCCTCGGCTCAGTCAGGTCGTTGAGGCTCTTTCCTTGGGTAATGGTTTTCCGACTCGGCAACCTCGCCCTACTTCCAACTTGAGTAGACTGGGTGGATAGGAGCTTCTTCCTCCTTCCATCACTACCCAAGCTATCTAACTCAAGATAGACGAAGGTGCACGGATTTCTCACTCTGATCCTTCCGGGCAGCTTCGCTAGATTCCACCTTCTGTCTAGACAAGGTATCCAACTCAAGAATCTCGTCACGACCATCCCCATTTACGATGTCGGTGCCACTGGTCTTCAAGGGCCGAGAGGTTGCAATGACCCAGAACGAGCTTGCCGCCTCCTCGGCTGCAGCGTGAGTTTTCGGCCCCCCCGTTGTTTCCCTCACTAACGCCAAGGTCTATACAGCAAAGCGAACGGCGCCGAGAATCAGGACGAAGATGACCTGATCCCGAAGATCGAGTCCGACTTGGTCGAGCCTGTTGGTGCCTCCGAGAAGTCGGCCAGCAGAAAGCGCCAGTCCAGCCAACCCGCCACCAGCAAAGCTAGCAAGAGACGTAAGTTGCTTGAAGGCCAAAAGCCTCTGGATGGGTCTGCTCAGAGTGTCCGAGCCTCGATCGAGAACAGAGCCGCGCCTGCTATGAAGAAAGGACTTCCTCTAGATGCTTCCGACTCTGATGAGGAAGACGGTCCCGACGATCACGGTCCTAGTGATACTGAGAGAGATGATGGTTCCCCTCCGCCGGTGCAAGCTCCTAAGAAGCGCGGTCGTCCCAGAAAGACTACCAACGCTGTCTCGATCAAGTCCAAGAAACCTACTGGTAACCAGATTCCCGCTGGACCAATCACCAAAGGTAAGTCTAAAAGTGGATTCACTTGCGTTCTGGTCGTCTTCGCCTACTTTTACCCGTTCTAACCTCTCTGATACGTTAGCCACTGCTCTTCGTCGGTCTACTCGTGCTTCTACCGTAGAGAAGGCAGTTACTGAGAAAAAGGTAGCAGTACCCTCACGCCTAACTTCAAGACCGCATTAAGATTGACACCCTGACAGGCCGTGACGACATACGGCCGAGGCGTCGCTCGCCCCAAGAAGGCTACGAGGAAGAGCCCTGTAAAAGGCACCTCGAGTTCTCCTACTTATTCTGAGGAGTTCTACGTCGTTGAGAGGATCGTTGGCGCACGCGTTGACCCCAAGACCAAGGTGCAGATGTACATGGTGAAGTGGAAGGGATACGGCTCGAACCAGAATACATGGGAGCCAAAGGGAAACTTAAGCAAGTGCGCTGCTCTCATCAAGAGCTTCAATGCTTCTCAAAAGAAGGAGAAGAGAAAGAAGTGAACAGCTTTCTGTCGTCATCAAGATAGGCGGGTTGTTGCTGGCGTTACTGATACTTATCGGTATTTCGAGTTCATTTGGGTTTCATGGTTTCTAGGCGTTGAGTGGAAACGACATCGGCTTAGAGGAAGCTTTCGACAAGGTATGCAGAGGAATTTCCAACGAAAATCCGACGATTGTATCCCAAGTTGGTTCATACGGCGAAGTTGGAACTGCTCACTCGCGATTCAATGGGACTTTGACGGACGGACAGTGCTGCGCAGGGATGACGTGGGGTGGTGTAGCTAGGATTTCACAGGCCTGAGATTGGTCAGCTCCTGCAGCTAAGCTCTCCACTTGAAATTCCCCGACTGGTTTAATTCACTGCCCCCTTACCTCCATCTCAGGGTTCACAGTGACCTCAACCCTTCCTTCAACGTGTCCGCCGGGTGGCTCTCAACATCTGCTGACTTTTTTTTTTTCTTCACTTCACTGCTCTGCTCTCCCCAGTGAATTTGTCGCAACTTCTGCCATATAGCCTGACGACACGACATCCGAAGACGGCCGACGCATAGATTGAGCCAATACCAAGTACAAGCTTGTCCCGTGTTCCCCGTCGTCAGACACCCCAGCCGCAGTCATGGACGCCGTCCGCTCCGCCCTCCAGCCTGTCACCCATAACCTCCCGGCCCCGATCCGCGACCTCGGCGTCTCCATCATCGGCGAGCACTGCTACAAGTCACTCCTGCTGGACATCAACGTTGAAGATGTAGACTGCATCAAGCTCGGCCTATCCAAGGGCATTGGCCTCGGCATCGTCGGCGTCTCGAGCATTGTCAAGCTGCCGCAGATCCGCAAGCTCACCTCGTCGCAGTCGGGCGAGGGCATCTCGGTGCTGTCGTACCTCCTCGAGACGGCCTCCTACCTCGTCTCGCTGGCCTACAACTACCGCAACCAGTTCCCCTTTAGCACCTACGGCGAGACGGCGCTCATCATGGGCCAGAATGTCATCATCACCGTCTTGGTGCTCAACTATACCGGCCGCGCGAGCCTGGCTGCCGTGTTTGTGACGGCGTTGGCCGTTGCACTGGGAACGCTTTTTGCCGGGAGCTTGGTCGACATGCAGACGTTGGGATACCTGCAGGCTGGCGCGGGCGTGTTGAGCGTCGCTAGCAAGGTTCCCCAGATCCTGGCGATTTGGTCCGAGGGCGGCACCGGGCAGCTTAGTGCATTCGCTGTAAGTCGATTGCTCCTCGCCCCGTGTGGGAAGCCTCGAAAGGATTCAGGTGCTAATACGTGTAATCAACAGGTCTTCAACTACCTCGCCGGCTCCCTCTCCCGCATCTTCACCACACTCCAGGAGGTCGACGACAAGCTCATCCTGTACAACTTCATCGCCGGCTTCCTCCTCAACGCCGTCCTCGCGTCCCAGATGGCGTACTATTGGAATGCGCCCTCCAAGAAGGCCAAGGGCAAGCAGAAAGTTCCCATCCCCGCTGCCCCTTCCACCGGTTCCTCGTCGGCTACTTCGACGCCCGCCAAGAAGGGTCCCAGCACCCGCCGTCGCGGTTGAGTGCGTGGTTCTCTCGAAAGGGGTAGGCTTTCCCCTTTGAAGGCGGCTAGAGCGTTTAGATACCATGTTGTTGCTTCTATAATACAGTGAGCACATTTAAGAACTTATTCCACTTGCGTACCCTTCGTGAACAGCCTCTTTATTGACGTTTTTAATCTCGGGTTCCAGAGGGCTCTGTACCGTTTGCATGTACTCGACACGTGAGGTTGCCACAGCCTTGCTCAAACGGCTGGACTAAGCAAGGTATCGTCAATGTTGTTCGACTTGGTGCAGCCAGCCCGAAGCATTATCAACCCCAGTAGACCGGGTACCCTCGGAATTTCCGTGATGAGAGAGAGAGAGAGAGAGAGAGCTGCGTCCAAGATTTGTGTTCCAACCCAAGCAAGGACCCGGAGCCTCAGCCTTTCTATTAAACAAGAGCCCCTTGCCTGTGCAGGTTGTGTATGGTATGCCAGAGCGCCGCTTTACATACTATAGCCTACAGGCCCGCCGAAGATTAATCGAAGTGACGATACAGAGGCTGTATCTCATCGCTCGTTGCGCCGCAGCTGTTGACCTGGCTTGTTAACGTTACCGAACTCCCTTGGTTGAGGCGCTTCCATGCGGCTGTTCACGGGCAGATGTGTCACGAAGGGTGTCAAACGAGATATGGAATCGACGGAGTGTGTATTACGAGGCCTCCGGTGAGGTACGAGGTCGTATGGCATTAACGGCGTCGCATTTCCCCCCTGTAGTCAGGGTTCTTCTTCTCCCCCTCGGCCGCCCACCATCGCCATCACCACACAATCCCCGCCCTCCATCTATCTTTTCTCGCGCCCGCCCAAAATAAAGAGAAACAAAACCGTAAAAGACGTTGGCAAAACTAGGTATGCCCTTAGGCAGGGACCCCCCACTTCTCGTGGTATCGTAGTCTGCTATCCAAATTAGAATCCTGTTCACGAGGAGATTGAGTGCTAAGAAAAGGGGCAACTTACATGCTCGCACAAACGACAAAAAAGAAAAGCCGGTCACACTTCGGCGCTCAACCGCGCAGAGAGAGGAACGCGACCAATCCCCCCACGAAAGCCACAACCCACAGCGCCATGCCGACAAGCAGCATGATGCGCAGGTTGCGTCTCTGGTGGAACGAGAGGCCGGTGCACTCTCCGCCGGTGAGGCCCGCCAACACCCGATCCCACGACCAGACAAGGGTGACGGCCCCCACGAACGGCAGCAACAGGGTCGCCCCCATCACCGCGTAGTAGAAGGCCGCCTGGCGACGGACCGCACCCCGCGAGAGAGGGGTCTGGTCCCGGACGGTCGCCGCCATGTCCGCGAGCTCGGTATCCGTGCCCCGGCCGCCGAGTTGACGGACGGCCTGGAGGGCACGGTACCTCTCCATCACCTCGGAGGAGTAGAGGTGGGGAGAGGCCCGGCGGCCCGCAGACTGGTCGATGGCGAGGGCCTCCGCCGCAGCTTGGTGGCTGATGCTTGCCATCTTGCTGGGGGTGGAGACCCTCTCCCTCGCCCTCGCCTGGTCGGTGGTTGTTTGGGGGCGCGACGCCGACGAGTGCTGGGTTGGGAAGTACTCGCGGGTCGGCCGCCCAAACGGGTGCTGTTGGCGATCTAGAAGCAGTTGAGGTTAGCCAGCGAGTTCCTGCGAGCCTAAAATGAAAAGCAAAGGACTTGCTTCAAGCAGGGTGGTTTGCTCCCCCCGAAGTATCTTCGAGCTTTTTTTCTTCGAACAAAATTCGAACAGAGATTCGAACGGGATCTTGGAAGGAGGTGGGAGAGGTTTGGAGCCGAGGTCTTTTTTTGGTTGTTTATAGATTGGGTGACCAACCCTCGGTTTGGAGAGTGTTGTTTATGGAAAGAAGAAGAGGAAAGAAGGCAATAGAGCGAGGGAGGAGGGGAGGGCTTTATGTAGATATTGGGAGGGTAGTAAGGCATAGAAATGCGGAGACTAGAGACTTACCAATGAAGATGGTACGGCGATCGATGCCTTGGTTCTCGGTGCGGGAGAAGAATGATCTTGTAGAGTTCTTTCTCAAGGCGGGGCGAGGATAGACGTGGCTACCGCCGTTTGAGGAATAAGGCCGGCCGGGGGAGATGATGTGTCCTGAAAGAGTATGGTCCTCGAGGCCGCTTGCGCGACGGAAAGCTTGAAGCTTGGCTGCGTCCTCACGGGGGACCAGGGGAAACGGCAGGTTAGCATACTCGTTGCGGCTGGGCTCGGCTGCCTCTTCATGAACCTGTGCTCGATGGTTCCGGACGCGATCCCAAGAGAAGTCTGGATAGGGAGCTGGCATGGGATCGAGCTCGATCTCCTCCCAGCCGTCTTGTCTTCGCTGTCTATTCTGCAGTGCGCGCGCAGGAGGCGATAGATAGGAAGGAGAGGCAGAACGAGAGGGGATCGACGGTAGAGGGGTCGACGTCTCCCACCATGCTCTCGCCCGGGTGGTGGAGGGCTCGCGGCCTTTGTAGGAAGTAGTGTGGTGAGCGACAGGATGCTGTTGTTGATGCTGAACCAGAAGTGCATCTGAGACGTTGGCAATGCTGCTACCAGTCATGACTCTGCCCATAAAGCCTGTAGGGAACTCGCGGTCATCGGTGACAGTTCGCCAGTCTTCATCTCCCTCCAAGCCAGTCCGTTCCTCTCCATCTTCTGAGGCAACTGTGGCCATGCGCGTGTGATCGATGGCGTTGTATGGCTCTGTTGCTTGCATGCCGATCTCATCTCCGGTGAATGGGGCTGGAGCAGGAACGGGAACCTTGATACCGGATTGGGTGATCTGCCAGTCGGGCTGAATAGCTGGGGCATGGTAGAAGTCGTTCTTTTGCTGATCAGAGCTGCTGTGATAGGGTGACTGACGTGGATTCTGAAGGTGTGAATGACGAACACGGCTGATGAGACCACTGGATGGCTGGCTGAGACCAGTGACGTGGTGAAGCGCACGAGAAACTTCTTTCTCGGCATGAGGGCGTAGAAAGACCTTCTCTTTGCCAGGCTCAGACTGCTCGACATTGTGCTCCGAAGCATGAGACGATGCGTTGGAGAAAGCATGGAAGGGGTTCAACAACTTGACTGGAGCCTTTCCTTTGTCCAGGTTGGTGACCTCATCTTCGGAATAGCCAGAGGCGTCTCCATCATACTCAGAATCAGACTCTGATGTTTGCTCGACTGTGGGGACAGGCTGGTCAGCAGGGATCGAGGGAGGGGGTAGAACACCACGATCGATGAAGATAGGTAAGTGGTTGCTCTGGTTGCCAGGCTGTAAGGCTTCGTGATCAAGAAAGATGGGATACTGAGTTCCGTTCAAGCCAGAAAGGTGAGTTGTGTTGAAATAACCAGAAGGAGTCTCTTTCTTGACGACGTCGTCAATGTGGGAAGATTGGTCTGCTTCCTCGGTATGCCATGAGGGACTTGCTGCAACTGGGGGCGAAAGAATAGGGGAAGAGGCCAAAATAGGCGAGGACCTTGGCTCTATCTTGATTTTGTTCATGGAACCGTGGTCAATGGAGGCTAGACTGTAGTCATCACCATCTTCTGGGTAGAATGAGGAGGCATCTGGGTACTCAGTGGCGACATGCTGGCTGTCGAAAGGATCATCGATGGAATCTTGTCGGTCATGCTGCTCCTTGAACTCATGTAAGGACAAATTCGAATAATCAATGAAGGCGTTCTCATCATCCGACAGGTATGGAGAGGAAGATCTTTGAGGACCATGGTCTGTCGTCTGAGCTTGAGACACGACAGTAGAAGGCGAAGTTTGCTTGTCGACCTTGCTCTGCTGGCTAGATGCATTCGGCTCGGCAAGTAGCTCGAGGCTCTTCGGCTCCTTCTGACCCTTAGAGTCTTGAAACTGGCTAGAGGAATTGTTCGAGGCACTTAAAATGTCTTCGACTTGCTCCTCCGTGAGCTGCTCTTCATCGCCTAGCTGTCCATCGAACTCAATGGGGATCTTGGGAGTTGGAGGAGCAATGTGTCGATGAGCTTCATTGAACGAAGCATAAAGGGCCTTGTTCGGGGTGAGAGACCGCTTGGAAGGTCGCTAGACAAGGTTAGTATGATACCCTCAATGTTAAAATTAATGAGCGACAAAGATATCTCACCTCTTTGATCCCTTGATTGTCAGACATCTTTTGCGACGTGAGATCTGCTTTCTGCTGAAAGAGATGGATTGTCTCGGGGCAAGGATGAAAGAAGTGGGATGAAACAGTAGAATCGTGCTTCCAAAAGAGATCGCCGATGAGGCAGGGCAGTTATCGCTGCTGTTCGAGAGTATTCGATTCGCGAGTAACCTCTGTTGTCGTCTGTGATATCGCAGGAAACTCAAGCCTAGACAGGGAGAAGGAAAGCGGTCAAAAATAGTCGTTGGACAAGTGATGGAATGTCAACTTTTCCCAAAGGTCAAGGTGAAGCGACGTGAGTATGCCGAACTGGCGGTACAAACTTGATACCTAGGGCGAATTGTTTCAATGACGCTCCCAATGTAGAAGTGCTCTGGCGAGTCCGTAGATTGCTTGACTGTCTCGCGCCCCGAGACCTTTGACGTACTGAAATAGTTGCTTGTGCTTGAAATCTTGGAAGTCCTCAAGTGAATGCTTGAAAAGCTCAGTAAGTTGGATAAGCAAGGTGAAGGTGCGGATAGTAATGAGTATCTCTGAAACAATTTCAGAAAGGCGCATTTCCTGGGGGAGAAGGGTGAGGAATTTTGCAAGAAGCAGACAAAAGGGTAGCTCATTGACAAAAGTGATTGGTATCAAGAAAGAAGAGTGAGGAATGCGAGAAGGTTGCATGTGAGATGGATATCGTGCAATGAGAAGGGTTAGAAGGGGACGGGAGAGGAGAAGGATTCAAGGCAAGCTGGTGAAATAGCTGCTGCTGTGTGAGAGAGAAATCCAGCAGCGTGACTTCCTGCGAAGTGGGAAATGAGGAAGAATTTTTCAACGCGGTGCGATTCTGTTTTCTAAGAAAAAAAACCAAAAATCCGTTCAACCGGGCAGACGTGATGCCAAACTCGAGATATCAACAAAGCCCAAGGTGTAGAATGGATGTGGGTCCCAACACCTCCCACCTCCTATCAGCAGCTGTAAACTGCCCTTCGAGGCAATCAGGCGACGAGGATGCTTTATCTTTTTTCTTTCCCAAACCTCAAGACAAGGCTTTGAATTTTCATAATTTGGCATTGGCAGTAAGATACTTCAGGTTATTATCCGTTTAGCATAGTACACCCCATGTCTCATACAAGTTGGTCTCGAGGATTACTACACCGTTTACGCGGATCCGTTTTGTACTTACGTTTTCAGCCAGGAGCAACATTAGCATGACGATGAGAATTCCGAGAACTCAGAATTCATGAGAATGTTGAGTCCACATCACGAACATGGGTAACAAACGGTCTCGAGTGTATCTTCTATCCCATAGTTGAACCACCAGCGTGTGAACGGTATCGAGGAAGGAAAAACGACATTTGAACATGAATGCCGCATATATTCTGGCTTAAAAATATGGCGAGGGGCATGTTATATCTGCACGATTTTGTAGATGCTAGGCTACTCACAAGTACCCATACGGAGAAGACAAAATTCCAAGAAAGAAAAGCGCCCAGCCCAGCCGTAACGTGTGCTGCTATCCAGTCATTTGCTTGACTACCGTAAATAGACAGAAGCCACGGAGTTCAATAGAGATTCAGACAGAAAAGCGAAAAAGGATATGTGGGAGGTTTGATGGCGAGTGTGCGAGCATCTGTTGCGCGGGCAACGTGAAGTATCGCGGACTCTTATGCTGTAAGGAAGGAACGAGATGTCGTTAGATGAAGCAGGCACGACCGAATCGTTCGCAGATCCACTTATTTTCCGATGGCCTAGACTCAAAACCGTTAGTTCTTTGATCGGTGATAGGTGATAAAGATGAGCGATAAGACAGTGCCCAGGCACCTCATGATGAACCCCCTGTCAATGGACCCTGTTGGACTTCCTCCTTCTGACAAGGCAAGCCAGCCTCCAGATGGCCATTGCTTTGATTCCTTCTTCTATCATCCGTGTGTCGGCATGTCTGGGCCGAATCCACTGCTACCAGCTCATACACCTTGGCATTGATGAAGGTATTCCAGGATATCTGCGACGAGCTGAGCGCCTCAATATTTTCAGGGTCTGTCAGCCTTCAGGGACCATCTAGTGCATCGGCAACGCAGCACCCGAGACCTTGGTATCCCTCCGTCCATCATCTACCATTTTGGGGGTTTCCGAGTCCAACTCACGATGTCCAGTCGAAGCGTGCGTCCCATCGGCTTCAACTTGGCGGAGGAGTGTACGTTGCGATTTCTGCTGATCGTGGAAATCGAGCTGCTAGTGCGCAACCGATCGACGGCAGACGAAACGCACCCCCTCATCGAATTATTAATGTTCTTGGGACGGCATCACAGCATCATCCCCCAAAGTGACGAAGACCTCCAATTTCTCCACTTCTACCAAGAGGGGAAGTCGGGATATAGGTTCCATGGAGTCTCGTCGAAGCCGCAGAGAAGAGTCAAGCAGATAGAGTTCGACCTGCCCGCAGTCTGTGCTCGTCTCGTCCGAGCCTAGAAGACCGAAAAATCAAGATTGACAGGCGCAAGTAGTCAATGTGTTGCGGGCCTCATAAGCCAGCATTGCGAGATTACATCGTTCTTCGGTTGGACTTGGACTTTTGCTTGGTGGACATGGAGAGGCGAACAAGCAAGATCCTGAAAAACACCGGCTGAGACAGCAAAGATCGGCACCGAATTCAATAACCGGGACACATCCCTGACGAAGACAGGGCGAAAAGCATTGTTTCGTCCCCGAGTGTCACGTATGCACCAGCAAATGCCGCTGTCAATCAACTGGACCCTCGTTTCCTGGGTGGTCGCTGTTTTGTTGCTTGATGCATCAACAATATCTTGTCGGAATCCTTGGTGCATCGCAAACACATCGCATAGCATAGCATCGCAGCGCAGCGCGGCGCAGCCAAGGAGTGTTGTCTGGATGCAGTACGCAGGCCCGACTGGACGAGGTGCAGGAGTCAGATTCCCGGTCACGGTCTCCCTTGCCTTCCGACTGGGTTTGCATCGGAGGATGTTCCGTGGGTCTCGCCGAGCCGTCATGGATGATGGACAAGTTGTCAAGTCGGCGACAGCAACAAAGCAGCAAAGGAGCGGCTGGGCGGTTGCTTCAGTGGATGGCAATTTCTTGAAAAACCGAGGGTTGGAAAGCCTCATTAAAAGGAGGCGACGACAGTCGACGTGGGAGGGACAGATGCACGGAGATGAGGCAACCAATGAGCGACTGAGACCGAGGCTGCAGAACCAATCATGGGCGGCAAAATTCCAGCCCCTTTGCCGAATCCAGATCTTGATGAACACCCGCTCCCTCGTCCTCGACTTTTTCGCCTCCTCCTCCCCCGATGGCTTCGCCCACCTGTCACGAACCCCACCGCCCTCGCATGCCTCAACCTGGGATCTTTCTTCCAATCCCGTGTGCAGTCGGCGAACCATCGACTTGGGGCGGACTTGCAATTCCCATTGTTTGGCGGCTACGGATACATACACGCACGCAGAGGGCAATACCTATACTCCGTGTGCATACACTTCCACACCCTCATACCTTGCACCGTGGGTGAGACTGGACGACGAGAAAGAGGTAGCGGTCGAGCTGACCGTCTGTTTAGGTATTGTTGCTGCACACAACTCGAGACAGCAGCATAACCTTACCCTGCCCGCTATATCATCATATGCATGCACGCACTATCAATGTCTTGCCTGACAAGCACCATCTCACAGTTGAGGCGGGCAATAGCAGCGGTGGACAAGGTTGGGAAGTCTATCCGTACCCAGAGCTTACTGTGTAGGTTCGTCGAGTTCCAACGCCAACCCGCCTGGAAACGCCACGTTCCTTGCACCGGTCGGGGGATGGCAGCGATGGACCTCGCACTAAATCTGCGATGCGCAACGCCGCACACGCATATCCGTCTTAGCTCCCTCACACCGCTCGTACGACGGTGTCCGCTGCCCGGCTCCCGTCCACCCAAACCTCTCGGTTGCTTCGAGTCGCCCTCGTCCCGCTGGTTGGGATTCTGCAGATGAGCAAGCCAAGGGGGGCCTAGACGGGCCATGCAACGCTGTCCTGCCCTGAGCTGGGTCTCTCCATGCAGCTATGTCTGTCCAGCAGAACAGACTGGCTCTCAGAAATCGTCCTGCTGTGCCAGTCCCTCGCCTCACTTCGTCGTGCCTCGAAACTGAACCTTTGTTTCGTTTCTTTTACATGGTCCTCCCGAGCTATCCATTCCTCGTTAGTTGCCGTACGCAACCTCCAGCCGCCGGCGCCGGGCATCCTTCTCCACCGGCCTCTTTAATGCGGTTCCGGCGCACATGACACCCATACCAACAGTGGTCGCCCGTATTTCACCTTGAGCCCCCCCCGGCCTGCCACACTTCATCACACCTCCGACCTCCCGAGGTTTGCCCTTTCCCACCATTTTCGCCCTTTCCTTCCATTTTGCAATATCTCAAGAATGTTCAATGGCGTTTTGGGTGGTCGGCGGGGAGGCAAGGCCACTTTCCCAAGGTGATGGCCACGTCCTCAATTCCGATCTCTACGTTGTGGGTGGCAAAAGGAGGATTGGTCACGCTGATGAGCGCGACATCTACGACGGCAACTCTGAGTACGCACACGACGACATGCCCTTCCAGAAAAGGGCCCGTGTATCACATTTCACGTCCGACTTGGATCCTGTTTGTCCACCGCGGGGATCGATTCCCGTTCAGAACCTGTCCTTTTTAGTAATCCGAGAACAAACATCGCCAACGCCCGAGCCGGCTGAAGCCGATGTCACCTCATCGCAAATGGAGCGCACCGCCTCTGGCTTGTCCATCTCGTCCGATACAGACATTTACAGCGCCGCCAGCGAGGACGATCTAAGGCTACTCGACGACGATGTTGCGGCTAGACTTGTCGAAAATCGGTTGCAGCTTGGCCGACGTCGTACCAAGGATTCTCAGCATGAACGAATCCTGAGATCACTCATCCGACCACGATCTCGGCATGCCGAGTTCTCCATCGATAATGATGCGCTGGAAAGCATTTTCTCCGCCGCAAACGAGATCTTCTTTCACAACAGT